GCCGCAAAGATCGGCTGCCGCCTGACAAAAGCAATGCATTCTGGTTAGAACATTTGTCCGACTTTGATCGGCGCTGCAGCCGCCTTATGATCACATGTGCCATCAAAGTACCGCAAGAGCAAAACGAGACCAGCCGCCTAGGTCAGGCGCTGCAGTTGATCAAAATGGCTGCGAGAGCCTTGATGACGACATGCTTTATTCTCATTGGTTAGATTCTGTGATGACAAGCACGACGTGTGTTGCGTGTTTATTCTAACAATTAAATTCCAATAGTGCTCACAAATCTGTGTTTTTATAACAGTAAAAGCTTTTTTAGTGTAGTCGCACTGTTATCTTGAGTCATTTTTTATCAAAAACACTGATAAAAGCATATATACCCCCACTTAATCTGTATTTAGTAGCCTATATGTTTATATGCTGAACTTTATTATTGAACAGATGGCGCTGTATTAAGCGATATATATAAGAAGTGTTTCTGTTGCTCATAAAAACGTTTCTGTGTATTTACTTTCTGTGTGTTAATTTACTTTCTTCTGTGATAAGAGTATGCAAACACCGTGATAGCTTCACTACCGGGAGCAGAAAGTGTCCGACTTGACGCTATAAAATACTTAAAAAAGTCTGAGCTATGACGTGAAAATTGTCCCAAAGCCGTAAATAAGTCAGGGCCTGTCGGGCTCGGGCTGAAATGCAGGGCTCTAAAGTGCAGCTTGTTGTGTTTAAAGGGTTAGTTCACCCAAAAATGAAAATTAGGCTGTGTTTTACTCACCCCAGAGGCATCCTAGGTGTTTATGACTTTCTTCTTTCAGACGAATCCAGTAGGCGTTATATTAAAAATTGTTCTGGCTATTCCAAGCTCTATCATTGCAGTTAGCGGGTGTTGCAGTGCTTCAGTCCAAAAGAAGTGAAATAAAAAGTGCCCACCCATAAAAAAGTGTCTCACACAGCTCCGGAGGGTGAACAAAGGCCTCCTGTAGCGAATCGATGCATTTTTGTAAGAAAAATATCCATATTCAAAATGTAATAATCACTTTAATCTAGCTTGTGCTCACTGTTGTAAACAGAAGCAGCTCCGGGCGGATGACGCGTTGCGCATGCGCCGGTGAGTCTCGTGAAAACCAATGTTTGTTTACAGGATCAAAAGAAGCAAAGTTTCCTTACTTTAGCAAAGGAAAACAAGTCTCCTCTTAGCTTATATCGAAATCCTCCGACATTCTTCTTTACAAATCCTCGTTTTGTACTTCTAATTAGTGACCGTTGTTTTGTTTTGATCTCTCCCCTGCGCTTCCGCATTTGTCACTTCTGAGCAGCGCATGCGCAGCGCTGACCTCATATGTCATCCGCCCGGAACTGCTTCTGTTTACAACAGTGAGCGCAAGCTAGATTAAAGTGATTATTACGTTTTGAATATGGATATTTTTCTTACAAAAACGCATCGATTCGCTACAGGAGCCCTTTGTTCACCCCCCGGAGCTGTGTGAGACACTTTCTTTATGGATGGGCGCTTTTTATTTCACTTCTTTTGGACTGAAGCACTGCAACACCCGCTGACTGCAATGATAGAGCTTGGAATAGCCAGGACAATTTTTTATATAACTTCGACTGGATTAGTCTGAAAGAAGAAAGTCATATACACATAGTAAAACACAGCCTAATTTTCATTTTTGGGTGAACTAACCCTTTAACAGACCATCACGGTCTACCCACAACCCCCAAAGCCTGCTACACCTATTCCTTTTTTTAACTTACCATAGCATAAGAGAAGAGAAAGATTCAGTCCAGAGCACCCAGGAACAGTGTGGCCTCTCCCACATCAGCAAACAGTTTGTTTTCCTCCCATGTCTACAAATATAAACAGTATTATTACTGTTGTTATTATTATTACATTATTTAGATTATATTAAATACTGAAAGGTCTGCATTGGACTTAATTGCTTTGTACAACTATACTGCTAGTTGTGAGAATGTTAGTTTGTAATTTTGCCAAACAGAAACAATATAGTGCTTGAAATACTGATGTAATGCTTGCCTTAATGTGTTGCCCTCTCACAAATTTCCAAATGGTGACCACAAAAATATTAATGTGAAATATAATATTGATACAGTTTTGCGAGGCATTATTCATTAGATGAGTATCAATACAGTATTTTGAGGTAAAATATTACAATACTCTCAATGTTTCTCTTACCTCTACCTTGCTGAACACATTTTCTCCATAGCATATAGTGACATAATAAGAATAATACAAGCATTGCTCGGTTTTTACAGTTTCAATTGTTAACAAGCATTGTTCAATACTGAAGCCACATTTTCAAAACTGTTCACACATTCAGCGGTACAGAAGGCTATGCTAAACAAACTGTGAATCATTTTGCATTTCTTTCAGACAAAATGCATTCAATGACCACATTTCTCAAAATCCACAAACACTTTTATTCATACTCCACAACCTGCAAAGCACTATATATTTTCAGCACATTTTTCAAATGCTAACACACTGCTTTCAAAACTGATAAAAGCACATTCAAATCAGAACAATGGTAAACTCTGTCCATTTCTGCAGGAATTATATTGAAATATATAATCTTAGCAAAATATTTACTGTGAAATTGAATAATAATTATTCAATAGGTTAGCTGCAATTTCAGCTGAAAGCCAAGCCAGATGTCCTATTTGTAGTTTTTTTTTTTGTGATGTTTTTGATGGGATGGATGCCTTCAGAATGATTTATTTTGGAAACATGGATCAAGGAAGACACGGAAGGATTGGTGGGGGGGGGGGAAGAGTGGCAGAGAGGGAGGACTAGAACCCTCACAGTACTAATCCATCCATCCATCCATCCATCTATTCCATACATTTTCCAAAGTGCTTGTCCTATGTAGGGTCATGGAGAGGCTGGAGCCTTCCCTGGGTCATAGGCAGGAAAACCCCCTGGACAGATGGCCAGTCCATCACAGGGATGACAAACACACACACACACACACACATTCATATTCGCACTCACTTACAGTCTCCAGTTCACCTGTCCGGTATGTATTTGGATTGTGGACGGAAACCAACGTCAACGTCAACACACAAACTCCACAGAGAAAGGCCTGGAGCAGCTGGGACTCCAGTACTTCACATACCTCATTATACTAGACATGCTGTTGATGTTTTTTTTTTTGTTTTTTTTTAATTAATTACTGCTTCAGGAAATTATTCATGTTTTTATTTTATTTTATTTTATATTATTTTTCACAAGTAAATTTTGTAAATGTTGATGGGTTTTTGTATTTTGTTTTTGGTATGTAAAGAAATGGGGTGCTGTTTTGTCATTTATTCTTTGTGCTGTAATACAGTCAGTAAAATGAAAAGATGTTATTCTTATCCTATAATGAAATACTTATGTGACAAATCATTCAAACTTCAAAGATAAAAGTTCATAGTTGATGTAATGTTCCTTGTTGTTGTTAGTGTTTTTTAGTTCAGTGTGTTATGAATGAAATGTATGTTTTCTGAATGAGAATTGTTGCCAGTGTTATGGTGAAACAAGCTTATTTTGAGATATATTAAGTATTTTGTTGGTCTGAGTGAGTTTTGGCGGTAAGGCCAACTGTTTGGCCAAGATTCATGTTGGTAATGCAGGCTGTATGAACAGTTGAAAATGTGGCTTCAGTATTGAACAATGCCTGTTAGCAATTGAAAAAAAAAACTAATAAGATCATATTGAGGTCCCGCTCTATATTAGGTGACTTTAAATACACGTACTTTATAATAAAATAATCAATTGTTAGGTATAATGTACCTATTGTGTTCATGTTGTATTGCAAAACACTTTTGCTGCTATTGAGGTGGGATACGGGTAAGGTTAGGGGCAGGTTTGGTGGTATGGTAAGGTTTAAGGGGTAATTACAGATGTAATTACAGGACAGTATTTAGTATTTTCAAATATAAGTTCAATGTAAAAACATGTATGTACACAATAAATGCATTGTATCAAATGATTTACTTAAATGTAAGTACATAGTAATTAAGGACACTTAATATAAAGTGGGTCCCATATTCCAAAAATGTTGGGAAAATGTTACTCATTTAAAAGAAATTATATATAAAAAAAAAAAAAGTAAGACAGAGAATGGGCAGTGTGTTTTATATTCTTACCTCCCCAGGAGACAAAGATGAAGTGCTGCCATTCTGCTGCAATGCTGATGGCGTCCACTGTGCTGAGATGCTCACTTTCACATTACTAAAAGTCTTTCGTGACGAGTGAAGCAGGACATAGCTGGATAGAGAATGGATGTTATTAATTACACCAAGTCATTAAATTTAAACTTCAAAACCATACGGCACCAACAGAAATACAACGCATACATTTCTAACTTGCCACATGTATTTTAAACCACTTTTTCCTTTCTTTTTAAAACATTTTTCTATTTCTTTATCTTGAATAGTCTTATAAGGTGCCTTGCCAAAGTCTTCACACTCCTTCACTTTGTCCCATATTTTTTTTACATATTGCAAACTTATGCTAAAATGCTTTAAATTATTATTATTTTTTACCAATTTTTTTTCCACAAATTATGTGGAAATTAACAAATTAAACCACTCCCCACACCCCATAATGACAAATTCAAAATGTGTGATAACTGCAAATTTAATGAAAATAAACAAAAACTGAATTAATTACACTGGATAAGTTTTCAAACCAATTGTGGTCATCTTTGCAATGTTTCAACACTTTAACAGCAAAATGCAAAAATCAAATCCTGAGGTGAAAGGAACTGCCTACAAATCTCAGAGACAGATATTGCGAAGACTACATATTTTTTATTCTGATGTTGCTAAATTATAGCCAATCACTGCTAAGTTCCTATAACAGCTAGATTAATCATATAACATTTCAAGAAATCAGAATACAGCTGGTTAAGTTACACGCATGTCATCTAAGATGGCCAACAAGACAAAGTTCAATATTCTTATTATGTACAATAAAACACTGGCTGAAACATGTCAGTAAATCATGAATGTAAAGCGCGTCACTGTTTTTTTTTTTTCGTTTTTTTTTCCAGCACCCAAGGACCCACAAAAATCACTCTTGACCATCACAGGGTCACAATAATAAAGAAAAGATAGATATGCTCAGTAACATAATAATGCCCAGAAACTGATTACCATGGTAAGAACGGAGGGCGGTAGGTATAGGACAGCATACCTGAGGAACGTGAGGAGAAAGGCTAGTAGGTGATGATAGGTATAGAGGGGCCACATTATATGGGTCTGGATCAAGAGGGGGAGGAAGTGGAGGATCTGGAGTCTTCAGGACACTCTACTGCACCATCTACAAACACTATACATTCAATCACTGTAAAAATCTATCCATCGATAAATGCATCAGCGTTCTTACTGTGGCACTTTAATACTCGTCTGCAGATGAATATGCATATTTACAGTCTTCCACAGATACGCTAATATCTAATCAATACTCACCGGTTAAATCATTTGCTGTGATTCGATCTGACTGGAAAATATCGTCATTATTTTAGGATGCTGGATGCAACGTAAACACACGTTAAAGCATAAACACGGACGTCATCCTGATGTTGCCATTTTCAAAATAAAAGTCACTTTATCAGCGGTTTAAGCATTAAATGCTGAAATCCTATTAAAAGAAAATGCCGAAATCCTATTAAAAGCAGAGATGTTTTTAATATTATGGGGAGATACCAACCTCCGCAGCAAAGACGTTCAATTTGAATCACGGTGCCTTTAACTGAAAATTGATTGTTTACTATTGTCATTTTGCATTGACACACTATTTTCCTATTGAATACTGTAAAGTTGCTTTGACACAATCTGTATTGTTAACGGCGCTATATAAATAAAGGTGACTTGACTTGACTTTCCCCCTTCTTTTTAATTGGTCTCTCAAGCTTTATTTGGGGGCCAGAGCAAATGCCGTACCGCAGTAAAGATAGTTTGCGGTTTGATATTCAGATTTCTTTTGGCTATAAATACGCAGCGCGCTGTCATAGACATGCAAATAATACCGAATATCGTTCTCCATGATTTGTGAATTCAGACGCTGTCCTTCGGGCCGAAATCAGTTTTTTTTTCGTAGCGGCTCTTAATTTTATAATGCCAATAGCGCCAAAAGTTGGACACTTAGAGGAGTGAAACCGGTGTCATATTCACCAGCTTGATCTGTGAATTTTTTCACAGCAAAGCTCTTGTCCGTAAACCCCTTGCTTGGTAAGTCCGCTAGTAAGGAATGTGAAAGAAAGACATTCTTCATGTTTAACGTCTATTACCAATAAACACGCAGACTGCTGGAATACAAAAACATTGTTTTAGGTCGAGCTCGATTTGTGAAAACGTTCACAATCGCATTTTATCGTGTGGCAGTGTTTATCTTTGCTCTGCGAGAAACAAAGACACGCGATAAACTACGTTTGGGAAAGTTTTCACAAATCGAGTTTGACCTAAAAACAATGTTTTTGTATTCGAGCAGTCTGCGTGTTTATTGGTAATAGACGTTAAACATAAAGAACGCCTATTTTTCACATTCCTTATAGCGGACTTACCAAGGGGTTTACGGACAAGAGCTTAACTGTGAAAAGATTCACAAATCGAGCTGGTGAAATTGACACCGGTTTCAATCCTCTAAGTGTCCAACTTTTGGAGCTATAGGCATTATAAAATTGAGAGTCGCAACGAAAAAAACCCTGATTTCGGCCAGGAGGACAGCGTCACCTGAATTCACAAATCATGGAGAACGACACTCGGTTTTATTTTCATGTCTATGACAGCGCACTGCGTATTTATAGCCAAAAGAAATCTGAATATCAAACCGCAAAAGAATTCTTTTGTTGTAGCTAATAAATAGTAAATAGATAATTCATAGTTAATTAAGTTGACAATAACAAGACATACGTTTATAACAACGAATATCAACTCAAAAGATTAATGTATTGTTATTATACATAACGGGTTTTAGATTCTGTTGATGTCATAATGGCGTTGATTTCTTTTTCTACATAATTTTACCACATAACTAAGGTGTCAGTTCTTTATTTTAATTGTACATAACTGCTACAAAACGTACTTTTTTTTTTACACAGGCAAATTAAGATATAAAAATCTGTAGCCTATTTCTATTTTGCAAAGATGGTAAAATAGATATTTAAAAATGACACAGCACCTCATGATTTGTATGATTTTTAATTCCCACTTTAAGTCATGTCAACACATACAGTATGAGGTTATAATATTCAGCATATTTCATTAATAGTTGCTGAGGATAATTCTATATTTAAATCATCTCAGAAAAACCTAATCTAAAAGAACAAAAGTGAGCTCCAAACCTATATTCTACAGAACATATCCACAAGACGAAACTGTTACACATCAGTAATGCAAGAAAATGTTGCAGCAGTTCTTCAAATGACTTTGTTGTAATGAAACAACTGCAGCTCACACAAGTTCAAGGGCATCAGCTTGGCAGGACACAAAGTTGAAACATGTTTTAATTAAAGAGACAGTTCACCCCAAATCAAAGGTATAAACCCCAGCATATGGGTTTAGATATGGACACTGGTCATGAAGGTGAGTAAATAATGCAATTTTTGAGAATTTTTTAAAATGATTAATTTCTGGAACTGTTGCTTTGAAGATCATAATTGATTTCACTCCACACAAGGCACTCAGGATGACAAAACGATTCAAGTCAAACACTGTGGCTCTTCATGTGCCTGTTTAAGTGTGTACGACACGTGTAAGCCTTTGGGCACAGAGGACATGGAAACGGCCTCTTCCCAATATGAGTGTACATGTGCTTGCCCAAGTCATAACGCCGGATGAATCGTTTCCCACACTGCAAGCAGCAGTGTGGACGCTCTCCGGTGTGAAAGCACATGTGTGCCGTAAGGTGACTCGAAACCACAAATTTCTTGCCACAGATTTTACATTGATACGGCTTCTCTCCTGTGTGAGAGCGTAGATGCACCTGCAGGCATCCGGCGGAGACAAAACCCTTTCCGCACTGATGGCAAACGTATGGCTTCTCCCCTGTGTGAATTCTAATGTGGATCTTCAAATTCCCAGACAGTGAAAACTGCTTCTCGCAGTATGGACAGATGTGCGGCCGCTCACCAGAATGACATCTCATGTGGGATTTTAATTGGATTTTGCTGTAAAATCGCTTTCCACATTGCGAACAAAGGAGAGGTTTCTCACCCGTGTGGTTTGAGAGGTGGGCAAGTAGGCTGCTGTTCGCCGAAAAGCACTTCCCACACTGGTCGCATATATATGGCCTGAACTCTGTATGGGTCTTCAGATGGCTTCTTAATTCGCTGTCAACATTGAATGTTAAGTCACAAAAACGACACTTTCCTGGCTGCCGTTCCGTTTTAGGTGGGCGGACATCTTTAACTTTGTGAATCTTCTGGTGGATTAAATTGGCTCGGTACGACCCGAAAGTCTCGTTGCATTGTTTACAGGTGTAGTTCCTTTTAACAGTGGGAGTCCGGTGAGTTCGCCGGTGACTGACTAACCGTGACAAACTTGTGAACAGCCGTCCACATTCAGGGCACTTATGTGTGGTTTTCTCTTTGTGCACTCGGTTGTGCCTGTACAAGGTCCTGAGGGATCTAAAGTGGGCTGTGCATTTGATGCACTTAAAAACTCTGGAATTGCAGTTGGTGCTCCTGTGTGACACCAGCTGCACCGAATCGTCAAAAACCTGCCCACACTGAGGACACTCATGTGTCCCCGCCTGGGTGTGAATTTCCTGGTGCTTGACAAGATCAGAGCGATAGATGAAGTATTTTGTACACTGCTGACATTTATGTACAGTCCTGCCTGCATAGTGGAAGCCTTTAGAAGGTGTGTTTGAGAAGGTGTCAAGAGAGGGCCGTTGGAGAGGCACAGCTGTCTGAAAAATTAAATCACCTAAAGGAAAACATGACAAACAGAGACAGTTTACTTAAAAGATGAGAAGATATAATGAGAATCTTGACAGTCATTCAGAGAGGCTGTACCTTTATGAGCATCATCGGTGGATGACAGTACACTTGGATCTTCTGAGTTACTCCTACAAAAAGAATAAACAGGATCTTTTTACAACAAAACTATTAATATTTTAATTTATGAACACTACAGAACGAATTCTGTAGTGATGTGCTCACAGTCCGACTCATCACAAAGAAAAAGACTTTTAGATTACAAACAGACTAATTATGGATATCACTCACATCAGACATTTTGACAACAGTCTGACAGTAACCATCTTGAAATTTATTGTTGAATGTTGTAAAGTTCTTGCTAAAGAAACACTCTCAAAACCTTCTCAGAAGTTGTATATCAGAAAATGATGCCCTTTAAAAGCACCAACAATCAAAATGTCTTCATTTGATAATGACCATCAACTTGGGACCCTAATGACTTTCATTACATGTAAACAGCTCACATATTCTTCTTATGGGTTTAGAAATGGACACTGGTCATGAGAGTGAGTAAATAATGCAATTTTTGGGTTTATTATTGCTTTAAAGATCATGGTCGATTTCACTCCACACAAGGTACTCAGGATGACAAAATGATCAACAATCACAACAACTTCATTTGATAATGACCATCCACTTGGGAACCTAATGATTTTCATTGTAAAAAAAAACAAAAAAAAAAACTGCTGAAATATTCTTCAAATATCTGGCTTTGTGTTCCACAGAAACAAAAAAAAACAAGAGGGCATAGGTGGAAATCCCGGGGGGGTCGGGGGGACAGGACCCCCCCCATCTGAGGGTTGTCCCCCCTAAAAATATGATTAAAAACCATGCTGTGTATTGTAAATAACCTTTTATACTTTAAATAACTTTGCAAGTAGTAAAACAACACAAACACAAACGGGGCAAAAATGGGTTTTAAGTTTAGAAACATTTTGAGTCTCCCCCTCCCTTGCCTCACAGTGCTCCCTGCAAGAGGGTGATAGAAGTTATTTTTTGGACTATTCCTTTAAAGGTGACATATCATGAAAATCTGACTTTTCCAGGTTTTAGATCAGGTCCCCGGTGCATCTACCCACCAAGGAAATGTGAAAAAGATTAACCCAGTAACTTTGTTTTGGTAAGCCTTTTTCTGCAAGCATCTGAAAAAATGAGCGTGTCTGATTTCGCTCCCCTAGTGACGTTGCAAAGGGATCCATCTCATTATAATATTACCGCCCCTTAATCTGTAAATTTCCTCCCACGGCGCAGTCATTTGATTTCGCAAGCGACAACGGTGTACCAGCTCTAATGCCATGGTGAAAGTTTGAGCAAAGCACGCTAACTATTCTGTCTTTGGCTGCACAGACGAGCACAGAACACTATTTAGAGTCCCAGCCTCAGAGAAGACAACAGAGCAGAGGATTTATTGATTTATTTACTGTATATAACTGCTGCCACACAGATCTGAAATAAACATGCGATTTATTTCCCAGCGGTTTACCTTCACAGACATAACCGACTGTTTTTGTAACTCGTGTGTTTTTAATGTAAACTTGTGTGCTAATGAGAACTTAGTTTAATACTCACATGCTGTGACAGCCGCAGTGTGCTT